ACCAATCATCCCTTTTATCCCTTTTATCTCTCAAAGTCCCTGGAGAATAACATTTAGTTGGGGAAATGAACAATTTGTGCAAAACACAAAAACATGATCGAAAATTCCCAATGACAGGGATCTGGCTTTTATGTTAGATTTTTGTAAATTGTGAAGGTGGCAAAAGCCATTTTGACTTTTTTAAACTCAGAACACAATGAGCTGTCATTAGACTATACTAGAAAAAAAATATTTAGACCAAATTCAGAAAATCTAACTTAGAGACAGCAAATATAATTTAAAGATATGAGTTCAACTTAAGATATCAGCAAATAGAGGGATTTATACCCCTGTCTGCTTGGTAACAGATTCTTTCAGTTTAGATCTATGGTCTATCATTTTCCAGAAATAAATCAGTCATGGAAACTCTGCAATACACTTGACAAAATATTAATAAGAATTACCTAGAGAGACAGAAATGCAGTAGGGAGTTAGAAAAAGATAGGTGAGCAACTAATCTATAAAATTAAAATAGGAAATCGGGACCAGCAGTTGGCATAATGACTATGTCACTGGACTTCCATGTAGTTGACCGCAGTTCGAGTCCCAGACCCGGTGGCTTAAACTCACACCAGGTGTGTGTGCATGCATGCCCAAGATTCTGAGAGAAGAATGGAGGAAAAGGGATTGCAGCATGGCCATCCCCCCCAGGGGGAGTGATTTCTCACTTTCTGTCTCTCTGTCTCTCTCTTTCTGGCGAGCACATGTGCCCTATAGCAAAAACCTCTCCAAATAAATAAATGAAAATAGGAAATAATAACAATTTGTCCTTCACATTCTCCCTTCAATTTTTTTCTATATAATAGTATTAGAGTATATAAATTATATATTTAAACATCAAGAAAATCAAGCATTTCTACCTGAAAGTTATTTTTTATTGGTCAAATTAATACATTCTAATTTGCCCCTGGAATTTCTAGTTGCATGACAATCATGCAAAATGTGTTTTTAGCACTTTTCTTCTACTTATTTGTGCAGTCATGCAAAGGGAAGTGTATATTTAAAGGCTTTCATTCATCATTTACTTGCTTATTAAGTTGGGAATTAAATTATGTTTTCATAACAATTCTTCATCCAGAAATACTGGCTTTTATAACTCTACCCTTACAGTTTGATGTTTCTTTTTATGTGGAAATAAACTGTAAAATTATACAACAGAGAAAGTAATGAAAGAATTTGTTAAGCAAGTTTTGTAAAAACAGAAAAACTTGCAATACACAAATGGGCAAATTTTAGACTTACAAGATAATTAACACCAACTATGAATATTTAAGAAAATCCAATCTTCTACTAATGATGGTGGGGAAATTTTAGAATGCTACATTTCAGTCCTAACAGTCATTATTAAAAATATTAGCCAGTGGGACCAGCAGATGGCATAATGATTATGCTGCTGGACTCCCACATGGTCAATCACAGTTCGAGTGTGGACCCAGTGGCTTGAAACTCATGCTGGGCACGTGTGTGCCAAAATCCTGAGAAGAGAATGGAGGAGAAGGGATTGTGGTGTGGCCATTCCCTCCAAGAGGGTAATTTCTTGCTTTCTGTTTCTCTGTCTCTCTCTTTTTCTCCAGAAAGCACACTCACCCTATTGCAAAAATCTTACCTAAGCATTGTATTATGTATATATTATGTATATTTTCCAGTGTTAGTTATAGTACCAAATCAGCTAGGTTTTATTCCGTGAATCTGCCGCATAAAAACTCAAACAGAGAAAGAATGCAATCCTACTAGATCCTACCAAAATTACTAATATTGTGAATTATGGAGTCTGACTTATAGGCAATTTAGTTCTCAGTCATATATAACCAACCTGAAAATACAGAAATTCCTTTTCATAGTTAAGCTAAAGTTAAAGATGGACTTTTTTTAAAAAGCTTTTAAAAGATCTATGTACTTATTTAATTTTGTTATCATTATTTATTTTTTTAATCTGACCAGATAAAGACAGAGAGAGCGAGAGGAAGAGAAAATGAGAAAGTAAGCCACCCGGTGCGGGATTCAAACCACAGTCAGCTATGCTCCGTAGGAGTCCAGCCCCTTAACCATCATGTCACTTGCTGGCCCCAAGGGTAGACTTTAAAAGTGCCAAATCAAATTGGGTCATTGGAAAATTCATGATATATTTTTGCCTAGAAAAACAATAGGCCATCAATAGATAATCACTGCATAACTATAATTTTAAAAAGATGGAATATTTTCCTTGTCTAGTAAAAACAAAAGTCTGTGCTACTGGGGTGAGGCCGAGTGCAGTAGTGATACGCTGGACTCACATGGGACAGGCCTGGGTTCACAGCTTGGGATTTCCCGAGGCACACTGTGTGTGCGTTATTTTGTGTCTGTGATCTGGGCTGACGGAGACTGGGAAAGGATCACAGAGCAAAGATCCTATTGAAGGGATGTGTGTGTGCGTGTTGGAAGAAATAAGTGAATAAACTTTTTAATTAAAAAAATAAAAAAAACCTGCCTTTGGATCCAGTTTGCATTTTTTTAAAAATCTGATGATATAGGCAGCATTCTAGGTCAATTCAGTAAATTAATTAGTTTCACTTTGCATGGACTTCTAGATTTTTGTATAGCACATGCATTAGTTTGCTATTCTAAAAGTCTCCCTGGGCTAAATTCAACATTGACAGTGCTGCATTCTTCTTTGGAGTTTCTAAGAGAGAATCTCATTTCCTTGACTTTTCTAGTTTCCAGAGGGCTACCCCCAGTCCCAGGGCCATGCCCTCTTTTCTCCTCTTTGAAGCTAGCAGCATAGCATCTTCAAATCTCTCCTGGACTTTGAGCCCTTTTCTGCCTCTCTCTTCCACTGTTAAAGGCCCTTGTGAATACATCTGGGCCATCAGAGTAACCTTTATCATTTAAGGTCTATTGATTAGCAACCCTGAGTCCATCTGTAACTTTAACTCTCCCTTCCTATACAACCTAACATTTCTACAAGTTCCAGGCATTAGTGTGAGGGTGGAGTGGGGGAGAAGTATTATTCTACCTCCCACAGTATATCAGATTTATATCTAAACCTATAATATTCAAGTCAATATTCACCCAAGCAAATTAAAGTTCTCTAATACTATTATGATTGTAATTATTATAGTGTAGAATAAAATATGTTTAAAAATGTTTTAACTTTAAATGATCACAACTTTTCTCAATAAATACAAGTCAGTTTGGCCTCTGACTTCTTTCCATTCATGCTTGCACAAACTTGGCATTAATCAAATGCTTTGACACCTATTTTCAAGGTTATCACAACGCAGTACACAACAGATTATACACTATAAAAGTATTAAATTCCCCTAAGACAGTGTAACATATAGTGTTTATTTTACTTGCTACATGTTATGACATTTCTTTTTACCCTGAGGACACATCTCAGCTTCAATAAATTTCGTAAGAAAATACCTTTTACTAACATTGTCTTCACACTCAAGTTTTTCAGGAAGAGGGATATTGGAAGAGTAGACTATTAGCAGAGACATGGATTTGAAAGACACCACGACTTAGTTTAGGAAAGATATAAAGCAAACATGGCCCAGAGATCTCCACCCAACTTGTCTAAGGGAGCTGACTCCTGACAATTAGTGAGCATCCTCACAATTATGACTCTGTTAATCTTACACATAAAATAGGGTCAACTCAATTGCTTTACTAATGTATACTTCAAGGGATTAAAAATAGTATTTCCAGACCAGCAGTTGAATGCTAGCTTTTCCATTTACCTGCTGTGGCAATCTCAAGCAAGCTATATGTGTTATTATTAAATACTTACTAGTGTGCTTATTTATTTCTTATTAAGCACTGCTTATAAAAGAGGTAATGATAGAACCACTATTTTACTCAGTTTTTGTGAGAATGCAAAGAAATAATTGAGGCACAGAATTTAGCACAATACCTTTCATGTAGCTGACTGTGGTTCGAGTCCCAGACCCGGTGGCTTAAACTCATGCCAAGTGTGTGTGCATGCATGCCCAAGATCCCAAGAGAAGAATGAAGGAGAAGGATTGCAGCGTGGTCATTCTCCCTGGAGGGTGATTTCTCGCTTTCAATCTCACTGTCTCTCTGTCTTTCTGGCAAGTGCACATGCCCTATGGCAAAAAGAAAAAAAAAAAAAAAAACTCTCCCCCTCAAAAATTATTTCATCATTCTGACCTATGGCAATACATATACTACACCAATGAAAAAGTCCAACTAAGACCCCATATAAATTACCCAAAATTTATAAAATGTTACATAATAAAAAGCAACAGTATGTAGAAAAGAGAAACTAAACTGGCAACAAAAACAAAGAATGATGAATGCAGATCATTTCTATAAGACTAGTAAAAAACTGAAAATATTTAAGATTTTCATGATAAATCATTATTTCTTTTTAGTTGGTTAAAATTAAAAGAGTACAAAAAATTTATTTGAATTACCTGGGAAAAATAAGCATGGTTTGGAATCGGTACAGTTTGAGAGGTATTATTATACCAAGAGTATTTAGAGGTTTTCTTATTTACTCAAAATATTTGTATCTCTGTTTAAAAAAAAAAAAATCAGCTAGGGGGCAGCAGGTGGTGTGGTGGTTAAAGGCGCTGGATTCCCACATGGCCAACCGTGGTTCGAGTTCTGGACCTGGCGGCTTGCTTTCTCTCTCTCTCTGGCCAAATTTAAAAATAATAACAAATGGGATTAAACAAATAACTCTTTTTTAAAAAATCAGCTAAACACACCTAAGCCCCACCCTAATAAATGATAGGTATCAGTGATTTTTTAAACTAATACATTTCACTTATTATATATGTGTGTGTGTGTGTGTGTGTGTGTGTGTGTGTGTACAAATGTATAGATACACACACAGTTTCCTTCATCCAATAATACTAAATTCTATTTTTTAAAATTACGGGAGGGGTAGACTCATAAGCTATCAATAAAATTTTATTTCCTTGGTATCATAAAAAGAATTAAAATCAACTTACTTGATGTAATAGGGCACTTTATTATGTGAAATGGATCTTTGCCACGGCAGCTGGACTGAAGCTGAGGAAACAAAGGGAGATTATTGGAAACATCGGTGACTCAAAAGCCTTACACCTTAACTCAAAACAACTGAACACACTTTATAGCAAATGCAACGAGAACTACTCTGGTTTTTGAGCTACATTCCTGTAATTATGAAACTCACTAAGTCAAACAAAGAAAGGCTTTAAAGGTTCATTTGAAGTGTGGAAAGAAGCAACACAGATTCTAATGGCAACTTTAACTAACTGAATCTGCTGCTAAAATACTTTTAAAAATCAAGTTCTATTGTTTATAATCAACCCAATTCAAAACTTAGTGCCATCTGGAAACTACATTCTGTGCATTTTTTTTAAAATAAAGCTAAAAGAAAAATTAATTGTACCTGGTATATCCAGATTAAAAAGCAGATTTGCATTTTCCAGAACACTAATAATATTCTTTGCTTTGCCTCATAGTCACAGGAATAGCTATTAAGAACAGATGGCAAACAGATTCAATTATATGAAATTGTAAAAAGAGAAAATTAGGACCAGCAGGTGGTATAGTGGTTAAGGTGGTTCATCCAACTAACTGAGGTTTGAGTCCCGGACCCAGTGGCATGAAAAATCATGCCAGGTGTGTTTGTGTGCATGCCCAAAATTCCAAAAGGAGAAAGGATTGTGGTATGGCCTTAGGGGATGGGGAATGATGTCTCACTTTCCCTCTATTTCTGTCTCTTTTTCTCTCCATCGAATGTACATGTCTTATGGCAAAAACTAAGGGAAACACAAAAAAGAGAGAAAATTCAAAAAAAGGGGGGGGGGGCAAAGGGTTGTGAAGAACCAGGACAATCATCTGGGCAAAAAAAATTAAAATACTTATTTTTATTTGAAATGCACAGAAAGCATAGTTTTCTACATTTGTATTAGACATTTTATGTGTATTTTTTTAAATTGGGATGTGTATCTTTTACAATTCTAGTCACTTATCGATAAAAATGTATTACTTCAATTTTAAACCAATATTTTAAAAGTTTTTGCCATAGGCCATGTGCACTTACCAGAGAGAGAGAGAGTGAGAAGAAAAGTGAGAAAGCACCCCTAGTGGGCATGGCCATGCCACAATCCCCTCCTTTCTACTCCCCTTCTGGGACTCTGGGCATGCATGCACACACACCTGGTGTGATCCACAAGCAATCAAGTCCAGGACACGAACCATATTTGGCCATGTGGGAGTCCACATCCCCAATCACTATGCTACCTGTTGGCCCCTAAACCAATTATTTTAAGACTGACTTAGGAAGAGTGGTAGTACAGGGACCAGCAGTTAGTGTAATGATTATGTTGCTGAACTCCAGTGTAGTCGACCACAGTTCGAGTCCTGGACCTGGTGGCTTGAACTCACACCAGGCACGTGTGCATGTGTGCCCAAGATCCCAAGAGGAGAATGGAGGAGAAGGGATTGCAGTGTGGCCATCCCCCCTGGGGGGTGATTTCTCACTTTCTGTCTCTCTGTCTCTCTCTGTCTCTCTGGTGAGTGTATGCTCCCTATAGCAAAAAAAAAAAAAAAAAAATCTCTCAAAAAAAAAAAAAAAGGAAAAGTAGTACATGTGAATCTAGAATTATATGGAATTTTGCTAAAGAAGCTAATAAGACAATCCAAATAAAAACTGTGCAAATATCACCAGATTCTCACATAGCCAGTTATGACCACTGATTCTTTTCTATATTTCACATCATATTAGTGTCTTACAAATATACAGCATTCTAAACTTTGCCAGGCATTTTCAAATATATCTTTTGATCAGAAAGCTAGCATGATACACATTAAAGTTCTATTTGATAGATAAGGAACTGAATATATTGAGATAAAATAACTTGCTGAAAGTGATACACCATAAACAAATGGCCAAACTCAGATGTGATCTCAGAATTTCTAAACACTTGTTCAGCAAGTTTTCTCAACAATTCTTGTTATGAAATGCAAACACTCCTTTCTCTAACTATGTCCATGGAAATATAAAAGGGAGATGAAAATGAAGAAGTAGGAATATTAAATTTCTCATTAGGGCCAACCTCATTTCAGTGTTGGCACCAGGCTGATAGGTCAGGTTTTATTTTGTGCCTAACTAAACAGGCTTCTTTCATAACTATGGCTAAAGTCCAATCAATATAATAAAGCCAAAGATTCCAAGCAACAAGGGATAACAATTACTAACTTTACTAAATGGGATTTTGTTTGCAGTCCACCATTCACTTTAATGATTGTTTTGATTTGAAAAACTAAATCTGACCTCCTTGAACTAACAGTACCACATAGTAAAAAGCCATGTGTTTGAGTTTCACAAAATATGTATGAACTTCACAATATTTCATTTCCTAAAGAACATGAGCTCGATTTTTATTTTGAGAAGAGTTGCCTTATGAAAGTGCAATCACTTCTACTTCCTGATCCTTAGAAGGGTAGAGCGAGTCTTAATTGTTTTGTAAACTTCCCTTTAATTTGGTCTTACTACTTAGCAACACAACCATAAAATTAAATTTAAGAAATCAGGAATACTTAACACCCAATGAGTTTATTGCAAACCTGTTTATTTCCGCAATATCGATAGTACACAAACTTTAAAAACACATCCTGGCAGCCAGGTGGATCCTATATTCCAGGAACAATCGTACATAAATCAAAAATAGACTATGGAAAAGCTCAGGTTTGTAAAACAGAACATCCGTGTGTGGCTAGGGCAGGAAATGACTGATTAGGATACTTGTAATTGGGAAAGAAAAGCATAACCTTAAGTAAAGCAGTTTATCAACTGTGATAAAAAGATTAAGAAAAAATATAATGTAACCAATTTAGTTGAGAGACATGGTATGCCTTTAGTTTTCTCTATGTTCTAGTTGTAAAGAAGTTGTCATAATTGAGAAGTAAGCTTTGGCCTAAATTTTAAACTTTACTTAAATTGAATCAAATTAAATATATATTTGCCAAAGAAAATTAAAGAAAAGGAATTAGTATTTTCTGTAAGTATTTGTGCCAAGAAAGTGCTAGATACTTTCTGTTATTTGATATGCTTTGTCATTTAATTCTCAAGGCAATCAGAGGAAACAGAACCCTGGTATTTCAAGACAAAGAAATTAACTTTTACATATTCACAAGCCTGGTAAAAGGCAGAATGAATATTTAAATTCAAACCAGGGTAACTCTAAATCCTACATTCTTATATTCTTAAGAATTAGTTTATTTAACTTTATTTATTTTAATTTGACCAGAGAGGAACATATTGAGAGAGAGAGAGAGAGAGAAGGAAAGAGAGAAACAAGTCACAGGTCCAAGACTCGAACCACAGTCAGCCATGTGGGAGTCAAGCACCCTTAAGCACCACACCACCTGCTGGCCCTCCTACATTCTTTAGTATCCTTGGAAGTGAAGGGTAAATAAAGTAGGAGCTCAAATTATTTATTGAAAATCTTGTGAACAGTCCATAAAATTTAAAATTCAACTAGGAGAATATTATATAAATATCTACATATGTGGTTTGGCTAAATTTGCAATTCCTCACCAGAAGAACAGCTCAGAAAGAGCACAGTGAGCCTAATAACCCAAAACCTTCTCATTTAAAGATTTATGGAGTGACATTTTACTATAAAAGCTGCAGGTGCATTTTAAATGAGTAAGTACTTTTTAAAGAAGAAATGTTTAAAGCAAAATATTAAAATATAAAAATGTCTTTACTGTGAAAAAGTTATTAACCTTCACATAGGATGAAGTGGTGATGTGATATTATATCAGTTATCATAACAAATGAACTAATAAAAGCCAGTTTTTTTCATTAATACCACCTTCTATATATTTATTTAATATAAGTAAATGGATTTATAGCAAAGAGTATGGCTTCTTGAAACAAAGCAAAAGAATATACTAACTCATTCAACTAAAGAAATCAGTCAAGTTTATTACTACTTACTAGAGAGAAAATGCTGAGAGGATGGTCCAAAATCTCTGTGGGCTTCCTGAAGCTGTTTAAGGCGATCGTCCACAGAAACCTGCTCATGCACACATAAGACAGAAGAAATCATGTGATTGCAAAACAATGACATCAAAAATATTCATTTAAGTGTGTAACAAATGATGCTATTGCCAAGATATGAATGCTATCTATCTCTGGTATAAAATGCTCGATCTCTTGTACAAAAGTAATTGTATAAAGATAGACTCCTGAGGTCATCTCATGGTGTGATAGTTAAGGCAGCTGGATTCCCACATAGCTGACAACACCATTTAAGCCCCAACCCAGCTGCTTGAGAAACATGCCAGGTACATATGCATGCATGCCCCAAATCCCCAAAAGAAAAAGAAATGGAGGAGAATGGATGAAATGGAGGAAAATGTCATGACCATGCCCTGTGGAGGGTGCTTTCTCAGCTCCCACCCCATCTCCGTCTCTCTCTGTTGAGTATATACACCCTCTGACAAAAAAAGATAGCTTCCTTCTGTCATCAGGTAACTTTAAATAATGGTGGCTACTCTCCATAGTACTTTATATGTATACCCGTTTAGTGCTCATAATAACCACATTGGCTGAGTAGTATTATCATCTTACAGAAGAAGAAATTGAGACACAAAAAAGGTACCACAGGGCACAAAGCTGGTAAATGCAATGCTAGTATTCCGGCCTGGACATCTGGTACCAGAATCTGTGCCTTACTCACACTGCCTCTAGAACATCTAAAGGCAAGATATGGCCTTGAAATCGGTAACAATTCATCTCTGTTTTGTAAGGAAGTTAGTAAATGATGCTACAGGGAACAAATGAAAAAGAAATTTAAAACACTCCAAGGGAAACACAGACTGATGAACGATTACAATAGACAGACAGATGGATATGATAGAAGACAGAATGTAAAGACATGAGTACTGAATGTGTCCTTATTTGTGCCTGATCACCTCTACCTGAAGATGAGATGTATACTGAAGTGTGCACCAGCAGACTAATATTCTCTCTATATATCTACATCTATATCTATATCTATACTTACACACATTCTATAATTAGTTGTCTACATTATGAAAATGTAGAGTTGCTATACCAAGAAACTATTAACAGATGCAAATCAGTAACAATTGCACACAGACTACCCACGTTTCTATTTCCTTTTGCCTAGTGTTTTTCTGTGTAGTGCTGGTCATTGTTCCACTTAATTTGAGAATCTTATTTGCAGCTGCCTTGAAAAGGAACTTGTGTCTGGCTCACTGGGCAGCTCTCATTTCTCCTGGTTAGCTATTTAAATTACTTTAGTAAGTACTTTGTTAAAGCCAAAAAGGTATTCAGATACTACAATACATGTTAGCGAGAAAAGAAGATGCTACTTCTGAAATTTAATAATGTTGCCTGACAACAGGGATTTTTCTCTTCTTATGCAACCAGCAAGTAACATTTGAGCTCTAGCAGTTACTAATGTCATAGATAAGGATGACAGAATACATGTCCACTTTTGATTATAACAGAAAAAGAATGGAAAAAAATCAAGGTGAACCACTGGGATTTTCACATAATGATAATGAACTAAAGACATAAAGTAGCAGAAAAAAAGATAAAGGTCATACACTTCCATGTTTCCTTCACTAGAAAAGTACATATGAACTTTTTTTTAGATATTTTTGCTATAGGGTACATGTGCTTTTCAGAGAGACAGGAAGAGACAGAGACAAAAAAAGAAAACATCCCTTGAGGGGATGGTCATTCCACAATCCCTTCTCCTCCCTTCTCCTTTCAGGATTTTGGGCACATATGGACATGCGCCCAGTATGAATTTCAAGCTGCTGCATCTGGGACTCAAACAGCAGTCAAACACATGGGAGTCTAGTGCCTTAACCCACACCACCTACTGCTCCCCCCATCACATATGAATTTAGCACATCTTTACCAGTCCCAGATTATACATATTCTTTGTAAAAACAGTAAAGGCTGCAAACTACAATATACTCATTTTTTTTTTTACCTCCTTGACTTCATTATGAAAATATGAACTACTGAGTGTTTTGATGTTTGGATTCATTCAGGAAATCTATCACACTACAAAACATTATATACTTCAAACAAAATGCTTTTATAGGCTACATGTTTCTTACTAAATAACACATTTTAGCTCCAAAATATAGAGAGAAATAGTAAGACTTTTTTTTCAGTGTTCTACTCAAATTATTCTAATAGTTTTCAGGGAAAAATGTATATATCTAGATCTAGATATGAATATATAAATATGTAATATGACTCCAAAAAACTCATCACTACATGTGATAAAGCTCCACAAATACAGAGCTATAAGCTCTTGACTGGCATATGCAGTTACTTGCATATACTCATGCCTGGTAATATTCAAGAGAGTTGTCTGTGGTGTTGTTCTATTAATGTGACAACCGAACTAGAGTCATTAAAACAACTGCATCAGAGCAGCTAAAATCTAAGCACTAAAGGTAAATACCATCTCGTTGTAAATGCGCTATGCGGACAAAAATGAGTAAGATACACAAATAACAATAACTGGGAAGAAAAGGATGGAGACATTCTTAATTTTTCATAAAAACCAAAAACATTTATAACATGGTGGGACCAGCAGGTGGTATGATAGTTGCTCATCTGGATCCCACATGGCTGAACATGGTTTGAGTCTTGGACATGGCAGCTTACTCTCTCTCTCTCTCTCTCTCTCACATTCTCTCTCTCTCTCTCTCGTGTACAAGTCCTAAAGCAAATTTTTAAAAAATAACAATAAATAAGGACCAGCAGATGGTGTAATGGTTACATTGCTGGACTCCCATGTAGTCGACCACAGTTCAAGTTCTAGACCTGGCAGCTTAAAATTCACACTGGGCACATGTGCATGAGTGTCCAAAATCCCAAGCAGAGAATAGAGAAAAAGGGATTGCAGCATCCCCCCTAAGGGTGATTTTTTGCTTTCCATCTCTATCTTTCTCCATCTCTCCCTCTTCAGTGAGCGCACACACCCTATAGAAAAATCTCTCTTAAAATAAAGAAAAAATAAAAATAACAACAATAAATAAAATTAAACAAATATTTTTTAAATGATGAAAGAAAAATGTCCCCTTTATAAGTTCTTATAGAAAAAAAATGTTTCCATGACTTAATATAGATTTCAATTCCTGTGATTTGACTTTTTGCAATTTTCTACAAGAATAATATGAATACTACATCAAAAAAGTTATATTAAAATCAATATTCACAAATAAACGAGGCCTTCGAGTCTGAGATACTGAAAGACAAATATGTGAAGCTGACACACGCTAATTCATTATCAAATACAATCAGTACAGGAAGAAAACCATGGCATGTGGTAGAATAGCGAGACAGCATTTATAGACCAACCAAGGTGAGAGCCTTATGAAGGGGCTAAGTGGATACCTGTAAAAGCTTCCATCGCATATTGAGGTCGTCCAGCTGGCGAGACATCTTTAGAGATGGATGCAGATCAAGTGGAGACAGCTGGCTGGATAGATCATTCACTGTCTTCACTTTTAAGTTGATGGGTGCAATTTCTTCTCTAAAGGCCTGGAAGAAAAGGACAATAATATAACATCAGAAAAGAATATAACAAAAGCTGCGATTTTCAACCTTCTTTCAAAGAAAATGGCAAGGTCAACTGAGAGGCCCTCAACGTGCAGTTGCCCACTCAACTTAATCCCAATCTTTAGTAATCTGAATGACCAACCTAAAAACTATCCTTGATAACGCAAAGAATTTAAATAAGTGCTTGAAGAAAAATATTTTAATGCAAATTTATCTAAATGATATTATGTATCTATCCATTTTTATTATGTAAAAATAAATTAGTTTGGAAAATGTTTGCCATTATTTTCAACCTTACTAATTTCTACTTTTGATTCTATCTTTCTTTTTTATTTTCCACTTTTTCTCTTATTTTAACATGCCCTTCTTAGTATTTTTTATAGTTTTTTTAAATAATTATTTTATTTAACTTCATTTATTTATTTATTTATTTATTTATTTATTTATTTATTTTAATTTGACCAGAGATGGACAGAGTGAGAGAGAGAGAGAGGAAAAGTGAGAAAACAAGCCGCCCAGTCTGGGACTCAAACCATGGTCACCCATGTGGGAATCCAGCGCCCTCAACCGCCACAACACCTGCTGGACCCCCTTCATACTTTTCAACTGATGCAATAGCTTAATTTGAACATTGTTTCCACTTAAAGTTAATTTAGAAAGTGACCAGCAAAAACAAATGTCTCAACAACAAACCTATGCCTACTGTATACTCAAAAACTAAGTCTGTTCCTTTTAAAATCATTTATGATCACTGTCTGTGATTAGGGGTAGGTAACATTTATAGCAAAAGAAGTAAATAGGAATCTTAGAATCAACTAATAAACGCTACCTCTTAGCATGGCACAGAGAACTGTATATGCGGGGCTTAAGGGTATACATAAAGAAGGGGAGAAAAAACCAAAAATATTTTGGACCAACGACAGTAATATTTTCTGTGAGAGCAAACAGAATAATGAGACCAATAACTTTTCATCATTTTCTATGTAATCCAGTGTGTCTGTATATTCATGTTTCCTTTTCCAGCAAACTCTTTACCTAGATCCTATGGACCTGTTAGAAGCCTCCGTTTGGGTGCTCCACCCATCAGGAAGATTTCCCTGAGGCTTTCCTTCTGCACCTTGAGCTGCAGGGTCTACCCGTGGGCTCTCTGGGTGCTCTCTCTGCTCTCACAAGCCTGGCCATGACTTTTTGGCCAGCACACATGGGGACATGTGAATCAGGGTTGAGGCTGGGCCATTCTGATGTTGTTATAATACCAAGCCAGCCATTAATATTTTACATATCAGTCCTTTTAGGGCACTTACTACTCGGTATTATGAGTGTCCAAAGTCTTGATGTCCTCAACAAATCCTGGAAGCATCTGGAAAACACTCTCCAGCACTGAGCACAAGGCTCGTACTACAGGAGTCTTCAAAATGCCCATGGGAAATACGTACTATATGAAAAGCACTCTGCATGGATTTCTAAATTTCTTTCTTCCATCCTTAAGAGATAGGCATATGTCTACAGGGCCTTTTAATTCACCACTCCAAGTTTAGTCCATGAAGTAACATATATCAAAGTGCTTAAAAACTACTAAGTTTAATTAAAACAGTACAGCAGTCATCTGGCTTCATCCTGATGCTCATAAAAAGAATTCCTGTCTAATCACTTCTCCCTTTTCTTCTCTCTCCTAAAACTTTTCTAGTTACCTGAACTCCTCCTTCTGTGACACATAAGGATGTACAATATGTCAGTTCAAAATATGCCTCTTTGGCATAAGGACTATTTTGAACTCAAGGCACTTAAAAAAACAGCAGGTGCAGGAATGACTCTCTGACCCTCTACTTTTTTTACTCCTGAAGGCAGGAGGTAAAACTCCCATATGGAAGATGTCTTCTCTACATCAGGAAGAAAATAACCTTGTCATCAAGGATGGGATGTTAAGACCAAGAAAATTCAGTACTAACAGACTTTGTTAAAATAATTTTTTTCTTCCTTTGGTCTCCCTACCTAATTTAGATAGTTTTCCAGAATTACTTCCTTTGCTCAAACTAATATAAAAGTATTTACTTCTTTGGGTCTTCATTTCCTTATATGCACTCCTGTATCAGTAAACTTATGGGGCGAGCAGGTAACGTGGTAGTTAAGGCACTGGATCCCACATGGCAAACTTCATGCCAGACCTGGTGGCTTGAAAAAACATGTTTTGGCCCTGTGCATGTATATCTAAAATTCCAAGAGGAGAATGGAGGAGAAAGGATTGTGGTGTGGTCATTCCCCTTGGGGTTGATTTCTCACTTTCTCTCTTGCTTCCCACTCTCTCTGGTGACTGCTTGTACTCTATAGCAAAAACAAAAGAAAAACCTTATGTAAAATAAATTTGTATGCTTTTCTCAATTTAATCTGTCATATGTCAGTTTAATACCAAGTATTAGATGAAAAGCCCCAAGAGGATAATGGTAAAATTTTGCCTTCCCAATAAGGTAGAGGCTAAAAATAATCATTATGGCAAAAATTAAGAATTAGTTTTATGTTCAAAAGGAAAATTAATATTGGATAAGTTAGAGAATATAATTTAGTGCTTTGAGATTCTTGAATGTGTCCAAAAGACTCAGGAACAAGTTTAAGGTAAAAAACAAACAAACAAACAAACAAAAAAGATCTGGAGACCAGAGTTGGCATGTGTACAACAGACATTTGAGATAAAAGAACAAGTGACATTTGAAACAATGAAAGTAGAGTCTATGTGTGGAAAATAAATAATGCCAGAACCCTGCAGGACTTCTCTTCTTACAGAAGAAAAGCCCCCCAAAAGACCTGGGAATTGCTATAACATGGAAAGAGAAGAATTTAGAATTGTACTTTCTTTCAATTGCTACAGATGTTGGCTTTTATGGGTGATATGCACACAGATACAACATATAATTAAATAAGAAAAGCAGTTATATGGTAACAGTGGTATTATAAGTGTAAAGAATTATGGGCCAGCAGATGGCATGGTAGTTAAAGTGCCAGACTCCACGTGGCCAACCACGGTTCAAGGCCTGAACCTGGTGGCTTGCTTTCTTACTTTCCCACTCTCACTGTCTCTGTCTCTCTCTGGTGAGTCCACGAGCCCTGTAGCAAACTAAAAAAAAATAATAATGATAAATTAAATTAAATTTAAAAAGTATAAAGAAGTAACGATTCACATGTAAGGGTGGGACAGAGGGAAGTGGGAGTTACTGTGGAAAAGAGAATTTTTCAGTCTGAATTTTGCAAAGGCCCTGGTTCCCTCAGGTTTCTTCAGTCATGACTTTAACTTTATATATTCTCTCCAAAGGTATCTTGGAGGACTTGAGAATTGCAATCAGTTTTTATAGGGTTATATTTTTCCTTAGTTTTGCCAGAGGTCACATGGGCTCTCTGGAGAGAAAGACACCAAGAAAGAGAGAGGGAAATTGAGAAAGCACTTCCTATGGAGCACTGTCATACCATAATCCTTTCTCCTCCATTTCTCCCTTCTTTTGGGATTCTGGGTGCATGCACGCACACATGCACTTGCATGTTTCTCAAGCTTCTAGGTCCAGGACTCATACCATGCAGTTGGCCATATGGGATCCAGCTGTCTTAATCACCATGACAAAACAAGCCAGCTCCTAATCAGCTTTTAAAATCAATGTAATTTATTTTTTAAGTGCTAAAGATAAAAAAAAAATGAAATGTTAGAAAATGTTCTAAGACTTACTGAATTTTAAATAATAACTGATTTTATTTCAAAAGATGGCAAATGAGTTTTAAAAATTAGATTAGCATTTCAAGCCAGATTTTTAAAAAGATCTTACAGGATAATAAAGGAGAAAGGAGTTTACATTTTTCCTCTATAAAAATCATGTTTTGTTTTGTTTTTGTTTTTAATTACAAGCTACAGGTGAAAACATTCAAAGAGCTTTGCCAAACAAGGTCTTTGGGTTTTGTTTTTTGTTTTTATAGTAAGATGTTTTATGGCAGTGAGGAATCTTTCTATCAAGAAAGTTTATCTTGTGTTTTTTAAAAGCTTTCAAATTAAGGGGCTTGACATAAAGCGAGTTTTAAAATGGTTTTAGAACTGCCGTCTGTTCTAGCATGAAGAACCAATTTATCATGTTTTGACTGCACTTTCCTATAAAAGATTAAGTGTCTATGTGGCCTTCCTTGCAATAAAAACAGAAACATCTGCCAGTATCAAAGGTGCTAACCGGCAGCCTGTTGGCAGGTGTAAATCCCAAGCCCTTTTCCTGCCAAAAGGTGTGTATTCTGCAAACAAGAAAGATTGATAATTTTTATAGAGTTGGATATATCTGATTACTCCCAGAGAATTTGTTTTTCAGTTGCTCTGAAATACTTAATAAAATTTAGCAATAATCAGTATTTATATGCCTATAGCTTCAATAGGATTTAGGGTATTATTTAAAAATATAGGATTTAGGGAATTATTTAAAAATATATATATATATTTTGAGAGATTTTCACTATAGGGCGCATGTGCTCGCCAGACAGACAGAGAGAGACACAGAGACAGAAAGCGAGAAATCACCCCCCAAGGGGGATGGTCACACCACAATCCCTTCTCCTCCATTCTCCTCTCGGGATCTTGGGCACGCATGCACACATGCCTGGCGTGAGTTTTAAGCCACCGGGTCCAGGACACGAACCACGGTCGACTACATGGGAGTTCAGAGACATAGCCATTACGCTAACTGCTAGATCCCTTTAAATATATTTTTTAAAATTTTGCCACAAGGTACATGTGCTTGCCAAAGGGAGACAAAGAAATGGAGAGTGAGAAAGAGGGCCAGTGAATGGCATGGTGTTTAGGGCAGTGGATTCCAAATGGCTAACCATGGTTTGAGTCCCGGACCAAAACACTTGAGAATCATGCTAGGCATATGTGTGTGCATACCCTAAATCCCAGGAGGAGAAGGGATTGTGATATGTACATCTATCCTGGGGAAGTTTCATTTTCTTTCTTTCTCTCTCTCTGTATCTCTGGAGAACACAAGCACCCTATGACAAAAACCCAAAAAGAGAAAATGAGAAAGCAGCTCTCATGTGGAATGGTCACACCATCCCTTCCCCTCCATTTTTCTCTCCTTTCAGGACTAGAGGCACACACATGCACCCAGGATGTTTCTCAGGCTGTTGGGTCCAGAACTCAAACCTCACAGTCAGCCATGTGGGATTCAGCTGACGTACCCACCATGCCATGGGCCAGTCCTGAGATATATTTTAAGGCACATAGGAAAAAATTCCACTTTAAATCAGTTTATTTCACTTAAAAATACTCAGCTTTTTATTTTACTTCTTTGTATTACAATATTAAATATCTTAATCCAGAGTTTGTGCCTTCCTATAAAAATATTAATTGTATTTTTTTCAAGCTTGTCATTTAAGTAGAGATTTGAACAAAAGAATTTAGATATAGAGGTGAATGATTTCTTAAATTGAATGAGATTAACAACTCTTCAACTTTTGGGACTTTAATAACTCCAGAAACAATTCTTGTATTTCCCCCAACACTATACATCCTATAAGCAGTTTCAAAAAGTTTGTTAAAAAAATGGAATTAAACTTTAAGTTTATTTTGGTAAACAAAAAAAAGAACAATTAAAACCCAAGTACAGCCTTTTTACATACTACACATTCCTATGAGCTTCATGATCTTTTTGAAGACCCCCCTATTATAAATTGAAACTTCCAATTCAAATGGTAAATTCCTACTCTAACCAAGAGGTATTTCTGCATTCCAATAGACATACTTTTTATAAACCACTGACTTAAAGATTTCATGTTTAAAGCCATCTATTGGCTCAGCCTGGTGATACAGCAGGTCACAAAATGAACTGCAGTGCAGAAAACCACATGGTCAACTCTGGATTCGGCACTCTGCGTTGACCTGACAGCACACCTGGTATGTGTGCACAAGCCCAAGGTCCTAACCAACTGGAAGGCTGGGAAAGAAGGATGATAGCATGGAAAGACCCTATTGAGGGTGCTCTTTGCAGTCTCAGTCTTTCTCATGTATGTACATGCATTTTCATGAAGAAAATACATTTTAAAAATAAAGTTTAAAAAGCTCACCTGTTAAAATGCAAGAAACGTGCAACTTCCAAAGAAGCTATGCTAAAGGTTTTGTTTTCTGTGGTTTATTTCAAATTCAGATTTGTCCATGGAAATGTTTTTAGTACACTAGAGTTATAGGAATTACCCTAATTACCCTACGGTTATAGGAGTTACCCTACTTAATAAAATAGGGTAGCTGGAAACAACAAATTTTAGACTAAAAGAGAATAGACATTGATACTCTTTTAGAAAAAAAAGCATTAACTTAATATTTAGGCTCAACTTCTGTGGTGCAGCAGTAACCCTAGTGCTCTGTAGTGCAGGAAGCCAGAGTATCCATGGATGAGATCCTGGATCAACCGGAAAAGTACACACAGCACTTGCAGAGGCACCCAGGATTCTGAGGAGCAGTATGAGTGAGGAAAGGAGATCGTGGTGTGATGAGACCCTATTGAAGATACCTTCTCCCTATCTTTCTCTCTCTTCCCCACCCCCCCCACCTCTTATGTACATATGCTTTCTATCCTAAGAAGAAAGGGAAAATTTTTAACATTTAACTTTTTGAGTTTTAAATTCAAATAGTTGATCAAAACTGTCTAAAGGGTCTTCATAATGAAAGAGAAGACCAAAAGTTATTCCTAGCTGGATGGCCTTGAATGATAACCTTCCTTTTCAGCATTTATAAAATTGGACTGTCTTGCTGGGTTGGTATGAGATTAAAAAAGATGTAAACTGGTTAAGAACAGTTTGGTAGGGGGCAGCAGGTGTCAGGTGTTTAGAGCACTGGACTCCTAGATGGCCACGGTAGTTTGAGTCCTGGACCTGCCAGCTTGCTTTCTCACTTTCTCTCTCTCTTTTGGTCAGCACAATTGCTCTATAGCAAAATTTAAAAAAATAGTAATAACAAAAAAAGTAAAAATTAAATAAATAATTATTTTGAAAAAGAACAGTTTGGTATATAGCCTCAGTAAATGCTAGCTATTATTATTCCTGTATCTATACACATACCTATTTTTAAGTATGAAATTTGCTTAAGTATTCCATCCTTGATCGTCCTTGTCTTTCTTATTTAGCTACTTGCATACAAAAGGGGAATGTTAGACCATGTCCATGTACAAAAGCTGAATATATATATTTTTTGAGAGGTTTTTGCTACAGGGCGCGTGCGTTCACCAGACAGACAGAGAGAGCCAGAAAGTGAGAAATCACCCCCCAGAGGGGATGGCCATGCCACAATCCCTTCTCCTCCATTTTCCTCTGGGATCTTGGACACGCATGCACACGCGCCCGGCGTGAGTTTAAGCCACTGGGTCTGGGACTCAAACCATGGTCGGATATGTGGGAGTCCAGCGACATAGCCATTACGCTAACTGCTGGCCCCAAAGCTGTATATTTTTTGTAACAAAAATGAATTCATGACATATATTGCTAGTTTAACATCTTATCATTTTTCAATGACTAATGCTATTATATGATCATAACTATATAGTACTGCAAATACTACTGCTGCATTCTAAATCTGTAATTTGTGTCTCTTATCACCTAAATGTCATTAACTTTTTTCATTAACTGCAGAAGTTTTAGGACATAGGAACCATAGGAGGTCTAGATCACAGGTCTAAAGTCCTTAACTTTGAGCATTTCCTGAATATGGACATAATTTATAGTTAAATTAACCCTTCATTAATGTGCTCAGACAGGGTTGGTTCATTAGTGCAATGGTGACACACTACTGAAGAGATGCCACATCCAGGGATAGCCCTGTAGCCTAATCGTTAAGGGAGTTGGATCACTCACAGCCAATCATGTGGTTTGAGCTTCAAACTCACAGGTTGAAGAATACACTGGATACACGTCCACAGGACACTATAGGACATGCCCCAAATCCCAACTGGATGGAGGAAATGAGAAGGGTTTGCAGCATGACCATGCACCACAGAAGGGTGTTTTCTAACTTCCCTTCTTTCTCTGTCTCTTTTTCTCTCTTTCTGATGAACAAACACACCCTCTGGCAGGAAAAAAGAAAGCCACATCCCACATGATGACCACTACAGGGTTCAAATTCTTGGCCCTATAGGCCTGAAACATGGTGGGCATGAATCAGTGCCCAAGATCTAACAGTCTAGAAGACTGGAGGGAGTGGATTGTGGCATGACCAGACCCTTCTCTCTTTGTCTCTCTCTCTCTTTCTCTCTCTCTGTCATGTGTGCTCACATGCTCTATCATGAATAAAGGTAAAAAGCACACGCAGGCAATGAGATAGCATTTAGAGATGAGAATTCCTAGTGAGACAGCACGTGGTGGCACAAGGGTAGGGCACTACTGCACAATACTACAGGCATCTCCTAATCTACTTGCAGGTCCAGGTTTAGATCTCAGGCTGACCTCAGCACACCAGGCACACCCATGAACCTGGCCGGCTGGAAAGCCAAGGTCCCTGTTTCTCTCTCTTTCACATTAAAATAAATAACATCATTTTAAAAGTATAGTTTTGATTAAACCTCTAAATCCAACTATGGATTTATAAGAGATAGAAAATAAGAGGAATCTGTAGGCTATACCACATGGATATGATTGTTCAAAACTATTCCATTTCTTCAACATATATTGCAAGGGAAATAAAAAAGGAATGAAGAGAAAAAGCTGGAGATTAAAAGGGACTGTAAAAATGTATTTTAAGGGAACCAGCAGTTAGCGTAATGGCTATGTCGCTGAACTCCCACGTAGTTGACCGTGGTTCGCGTCCCGGACCCGGTGGCTTAAAACTCACGCTGGGCACATGTGCGTTCGTGCCCAAGATCCCAAGAGGAGAATGGAGGAGAAGGGATTGCAGCATGACCATCCCCCCTGGGGGGTGATTTCTCGCCTTCTGTCTCTATGTCTCTCTCTGTCTGTCTGGCGAGTGCATGCACCCTATAGTGGAAAAAAATATATATTTTAAAAAACAGGTAAATCTAGTTCATACTGTTTAGGTATACACTGTCATGTGAAAAAATGCCCCCATAAAAGAATAAATTATTATAAAAGTCACATTCACGGCTATTTCTGGGAAGGTAGGGGATCCTGATGGTAAGAGACATACGGAAAGCATGTGCCACAACTTCTGACTCTGGTGGGGGTTGCAACGGTGTTGGCTTTATAACAATCCGTTACAAAAATGTATATATGTGGTTTTCTTTTATTTGTGTTATATTTATCAGTAAAACATTTCCTAAAGTCCTGTATCAAAAGCAAGAAGGCTGACCGTGGTTTTTTCAATGTGATCCTGGAGCGAGTCGATGAGTAAGTCTCCCACGGGCTTCCAGCCGTTCCGCACAGCCTCGGCCTCCTTCATGTCAGCGTCCAGGTCGTCCATAGCTCCCTGCAGGTCTCTGAGTTTCTCGAGGGCCTTGTCCACTTGCTTTTGCCAACTGGTAGTTACAGCATTTAGACTCTCCCACTTCTCTTTGACTTCAGAAGACTGTTTACGCATGGCTTTGGCAATCTTTTGGGCTTTCTCCTCTGGTGTTAATTCTGTGATTTAAAAAAAAAAAAAAGAAAAAGAAAAAGAAAAAGAAAAAGGAATATATGAGATGTCTGATGAGTTGTACATTTTTTACAGCCAAATGTGAATATCACCTTTCGAAGGGTTGCTTTTATGATATACAGAAAGAGTTACACTGGTAGGGTAAGAGAAATTTCTCCATAATTTTCTCTAATTCCTACTACACCTAAATATATCCTTGAAAAGAGAAGAAAATACTTGATCAGGTTAATAAATGGCCCAGAATTTAAAGTGACTTGAATTTTAAAATATTCTTAAGCCATTAAATATAATGAGATAACTTAAGAAATAAAAAAAAAAACTTTCTTGGACCAGCCAGTGGCATGGTGGTTATGGTAGCTGGGTGCCACATGGTGGACTGTGCAATTTGAGTCTTAGACCAGGGCTGTGAAAAACACACTGGGCACATGCATGTGTGCCCAAAATCCTGAGAGGAGAACAAGACAGGTTGCAGCCTGGCCATCCCCACAGAGAGGTGCTTTCTCACTTCCTCCCACACTCTCTGGTGAGTGTGCCGTGCCCTACAGTAAATTTTTTAAAATACCTTTTTCTTTACCATAATTTAGTTATGTGAAATCCATAGACAGCTTTTTATTTCATTGTCTCAAGAGAAATGAGAAGCATAATTAGTGGAGAACAGCTGTAAGTTATAAAGAAAAACTCTCGGAAAATAAGATTAATTTATTGTGTTCCTGAAAAAAAATAAATAACTGAAGACAAATAACATATCTTAGCTACTTCATCATCTCCAAGTCTGTCTGGCAGTTTATGTTTAATAAAGGGCATTTTCTGCAGCTCAGAAGTAGTGCATATGGACAAACATTTCAAAAGGAAGATAGCAAGATTTTAAGGACCATCCTAAGTAAGTAACAGAAGAGGGTTTCCAGAATGTCCTTCAGAGAGAAACAGCAAGCATAACAGAAGGCAAGGCTACAGGACAGGAGCAGGAAGAAAAATAATCCAGAAGAAAAGCAAAGGATAAAGACAAATCAAAGTTCAAAGCCAATGATCAGAAACATAGAGTTTGGGACACGATCACACCAGGGCAAAGGCATATGACAGACACAGAGGGCAGTCGGAGTAATGGTTTCCAGCACAGCTAAACATTCTGGGCCTCATCATCTTGTACACCTGAGATTCCTCCCTTCTTCTCTTGCTGATCTGAAGAGGTTGTCCTTATTGTCCATTGACAGCAGAGAGGCAGGTCAGAAACATACAATAGAGGGACCAACAGAGGGTGTAATGGTTTACATCGCTGGACTTCCACATACTCAACTGCAGTTCAAATCCTGGACTCGGCGGCTTAAAACTCAGGCCAGGTGCATGTGTGTGCATGCCCAAAATCAAGAGAGGAGACTGGAGGAGAAGGGATTGCAACATGGAAAAATGCCCTGGGGGTGTTTTCACTTTCTATCTCTCTGTCTCTCTCTGGTGAGCACACATGCCCTATAACAAAAAAAAAAAAAAAAAAACTTTCTCTCTAAAAAGAAATAAAGAAACACAGTACAGCTAAGCTGTCGATTAATTTAATTGAAGACATATATGCATGGGGCTAGCAGATGGTGTAATGGTTACATCGCTGGACTCTGAGGTTATCAACTGTGGTTCGAGTGTTAGACCTCGTGGCTTAAAACCTATGCCAGGAACAAGTGCTTATGTGCCCAAGATCCCAAGAGGAGAATGGAAGAGAAAGGATGGTGGTATGGCCATCCTTCCTGGGGGGTGATTTCTCACTTTCTGCCTCTCTATTTCTGTCTCTCCAGCAAGCACACATGCCCTATAGCAAAAATATCTCTTTAAAAAAAGAAAATGCATATTCATCCTTATGATAACATCCCATCTTTTTTTTTTTTTGATAATATCCCATCTTTTAGTATCAGTCACCTTAGTGACTTCTACTTTACCTCAAATCATTCTTGAAATGAACAGAAGTTAATGACACTTAATGGAGAGATGAGCTTCCTTGTAAGATGAATGAAGCCAGCTCTCCTAAACTATAGCTTTCATCCGCAACATAAATTTGCCTGCCTATTTTCATTTAAATGTCATTTAAAAGTCAAGTTTAAGGAGTCATCCGTTTTTCTAAATAAATTTCGAGAAAGTTCTAGACATGGATATTTAGACTTAAAAACAGCTCTATTGTAATAAATGTCTGGAAACCAAGTGTACGATAAAGAGTTTAGCAACTACAGAAGTGAGCTTTCCTACTTAAGTTATGTGAGGCTACAGAGAGATTTAATAATTGCTTAGCAACTGAATTGAGGAAAGGAATAGAAAACATATTGGATAGGCTAAGAGGCTAATGCAAGATAAATAAGGAAAATAAATGAACTAGAGAACTGGTTTTAAACAACAGCCAGGATAGAGAGTCAAGAAGCCTACAGAGAAGTCCTACAACACGCAATGTGTTGGGATTCCGGGGTCGCTGAGACAAAAACTTCCTGAACGTGACATAAGAAGTCAAACTATTTGAATCCTCATACCTTCAAACTGCCTATAAAACACACAATATTTATATTCTTTATTTTTATATACATATAAAATGCTATATGTAAGATAAAAAATCATTCTTAAACTCATGAAAGATAAAGCTGGTAACTTTTATGATGGCAACATATCTGTGTTTGTTAATAAGTCACTTGGGCTGTTTTAAAGATAGATCTTAAGCACTTGTGTTTCATTCACTATTGTGAGACAACTTAATTATGATGATTTTCCTTGGATAAAGTAAAAACTGTTTCTGAGTCAATCATTAAACAGCCGGGCAGGGAGGGAGATGCATGGCTTCTTTGTCATGTGACAAAACATCTTACACTAGCTGTGACTCCTTTGTCTTCACTTAATATAAAATCTTTTGATTGAGCAGACTTTTTGTAGTAGTTATTATATAATCTCTGCTCAACCAGCTACTCAGAAGAAAAGCTCTATGTTTAATTCACTATATGCTTGCCAGAAAGTAATCATATTAACTAGTGACTTTTTTTTTAAAGGTTTTTCCCTTAGGGTATGTGATTTTAAACAGAGACAGTGAGGGGGAAGGCAAATCACTTTAACCAGAGACAGTGAGGGGGAAGGCAAATCACTTCTCTATTCTCCTCCTGGGATTTTGGGCATGCAGGCACAGGCACCCACTGTGATTTTCAAGCTGCCAGGTCTGGTACTCAAACCACACTCAACCATGTGGGAGTCTAGTGCCTTAACCACTATACCAACTCCTGCCCCAATATTTTTGAGTGAGAACAAAAGTGCCTCTTACTGCAGCAACAACCTTAGTTTAATTCATACTTTAAGGCAAAAATAGAGCAAAGTACAAAATAAAAGAAAATCTTTCCAGAACATTGGTGAAACATAAGAAGCAGCAAGCAATAAATGAAATATCATGTTATAATGACTTGTTAAAAAATAGAAAATAAATTAAAACATCAAAAAGGCAGGAAAAAATGAAATATATGGGGACCAGCAGTTGGCATAATGGCTATGTTGCTGGACTCCCATGTAGTCAACCGTGGTTCAAGTCCTAGACCTGGTGGCTTAAACTTATTCCAGGCATGTGTGCGTGCGTGCCCAAGATCACGAGAGGAGAATGGAGGAGAAGGGATTGTGGTGTGGCCATGCCCCCTGGGAGGTGATTTCTTGCTTTCTGTCTCTCTGTCTCTGTCTTTCTGGCTGGCGCATGCACCCTTTAGCAAAAACCTCTCCAAAAATAAATAAATTAATATTTATTATTTGCATATTTTAAATATGAAATGATTGCATATTTTAGATCCTCTCATTTAAAAATCAAAAGACAAACACTGCCTCAAATTGTCTGCATAACTACTTGGTGGTAAACTCTAAAAATCTCATGCTAAAGTCCTCTTGGTATGAACCGATGGCATAGTGTTCATGTCACTGGATTCCCACATAGTCGACTGCAGTTCAAGTCTCAGACCAGGTGGCTTAAACTCACACTGGGTGTGTGGGCATGCATGTCCAAGATCCTGAGAGAAGAATGGCGGAGAAGGAACTGCAGCGTGGCCATTTCCATCCCCTGTGGAGGAGGGGAGATTTCTCACTTTCTGTCTCTCTCTCTCTCTGTCTCTGTCTCTCTGGTGAGCACACATGCCCTATAGCAAAAATTTCTCTCCCTAAAAAAAAAAAAAAGTGAACCCTTTTGAGCAGAACTTCTGAACTCTGGTGTCATATTAGGAACAACCCTGAAAGATCAGCAGATGGCATAATGGTTAAGTCGTTGGATTCCCACGTGGTCAACCACAGTTCTAGTCCCAGACCTGGAGTCTTAAACTCATGCTGGGTGCAAGTGTATGCATGCCCAAGATCCCTAGAGGAAATTGGAGGAGAAGGGATTCTAGTGTGGCCCTCCCCCCTGGGAGGTGATTTCTTACTTTCTGTCTCTCTCTGTCTCTCCAGCCCATGCAGTGCCCTATAACAAAAATCTCTCAAAAAAAAAAAGGAAAAAAGAAAAGAAAAGAAAAGAAAGAAAGAAGAAAAGAAAAGAAAAGAAAAGAAAAGAAAAGAAAAGAAAAGAAAAGAAAAGAAAAAGGAAAAGAAACATCCCTGAGAGTGAGTGAGTTACTTAGGTTGTTTTTAAGTCTGATACCCAGAAGCCTTACCTTATCCTAAAAGATACTGATTTATTAATAGCTGGTCAAGATCTAGGATGGATATATAATAGGACTTCAAAAAGTTCATGAAAAATAGTGTCAAAGTATCAGTTTATTTTAATACAGAAAAAAAAATGAAACCCACATATAGTTTTCCAAGCATATGCATTTTCCATGAACTTTTAGAAGACACCCCTCTTGCGCATTTTCCATGAACTTTTGGAAGACACCCCTCATACCTCTGCCCCCTGAATTTCAAAGCTTCTCTGATGTTTCCAGTGAGCCATCTGTCTGAAACTCCAGGAGCCTCACGGCAGATACATCAATGTCAGTGGTCCATGCAGCTGAAGCTCAAAGGGTGCTTC